TTTTTTGTATGGACCTCGCTGCGCTCGGTCCGTACTGTCAAGACCTCGGGCCGATATTCTCCCAGTACGGCCCTCGCGCTTGGTTAATAAGATATATTTAACTGTATCGACTTGAAATCTTCAGTGTGTACGCATTTGAACTATGTATTTTCTTGGCATTTGGAATACTCCTCGTTTTGTTGATCATCATCTAAATCAGTCGTGATGTTGAAGAACTGTTTTTAAACAGTTCCGTTTACTTATTTTCCGTGACATCTGCCAGAGGTCGACGAAAACTTCTAATCGAGTGGGTCATTCTCCCCTCCAACTGCTGTGTATTTCTTTGTAAATTAGGTCCGAGAATTTGTTACTGTTACAACAGAAAAGCCTCCAGTTGATAATTTCCAACTGATGATATTTTCAGCACCTATTGGCTGTAAAATATAGTATCAATATTATAAGAAGACGTTATGTGTTTATCACTCCTTGGAGAAACACGGTTAATTTGCCCGAAATGGGAAACAGCCGTCAATCATTGTCTTGAATTCTCGTTTCCTCGTATTTTCCTTTTTTGTTTTCTAACCTTCAGTTTAATCTTCTTTTAGCTCCAGCGCCACACAAGCGTGAATCAATAGTTAGCAGCCTGGACAACTTTTTCTCTTCCACTGCTTCGTCAAAAGATTCCAATGGCAAAAAGTCCCCCCGGAAAACTCTCGCTCAGTTAAATGAGAGTGATGATGATGATGATGATGATGATGATGATGATGATGATGAAGATGAAGATGAAGATGAAGTAGTTAGGTCCTCCCTGTCGGGTTCCAAATCCAAACAGAAACGCAGAGCCTCCACTGATTCAGGTTTGCATTGACACTCTGTGAGACATGGCCAAACAGTGTTATATATTTTGCTACGAGCTATTCTATTTGCTCTTCAAATGATTAGATAACAAAATGCATGTTTCTGGAATGTTGAAACTGATTTTACCAGTTTTTGCACGTTTTTTCTTTTTTTTTTTTGCATATTTGTTTATCCCTTGTTACCTTCAAACCTTTTTTACACTGCTCATTAACTCGTTATTTACGCATGTACGTACTTTCATTCGTTCGTTTGTCTTTCGTTTGTGTACTCATTGTTATAATATTGTTGTAGTCGCCAATTTATGGGCAACATCGAATTCCGGAAATGATTCAAAGACGAAGCGGAAGTCGGTAAGTTTTACTGATGAAACCATGCCTTTGAACCCTGGTTTCGATCGTTGGTCGAGATCGTTTTTTAATGTTCTTGAACAAGACTGTGTCGCTCTACTAAGTCGGTCAGGAATGGGTATGCTGGAGGGAGGTAGGTGTGAAACCCCATCCAAGGGTCCGGGGGCACCACTGCTCTTAGTGACCTCGTGTCGCAGAAACCGACAAAAGCTCTGTCAGCAGGGATATTTGGTCCCGTATGCGTACTTTTTACTACAAAGTCGTCAGAGACATTTTGCTAATTTTTTTTCACCTCCAGAGTATAAAATCCTCGCCCAGTAATAAGTGGAATGCGGACTTTGAGTTTGAGAAACCTTCCCATCGGCGACCAGACTCACAGCTTGATGAGCTGTTTTGAAGAGGAGACTCTCTATAGTTACTCACTACAGAATAGACTGAGTTTCATTTCTTAGCATATTGCACAAAAATGAATGAAAAGTCACTAGTTATACCCAAGGAGTTGTAGTATAATTCAGTAAATAAACGAAAGGTTAACCATGTTATACTTGTTGTCCTAAATAAATGTTTAGCGGAGCGCCTGGGTTTTTTTAATACTGAATGCGTTTATCTCAGACTGACGAACTCACTTATAATGAGTCCTTTCTTTCTCGAATTAGCCAACTTTTTCCCTTTCGAACGGACCATTTCTTTTTTGTTTTTGTTTTTTTGCGTATCTCGCGGATTTGCAAGCGCCTTGAAGCTGGGAGAGGCATGGGATATCACCAGTTGAAGCCCCGCTGCCTAGGTGTCCAATCAGTTCGTACACACGGACGTACTCGGTCGATTTGTACCCAGTTTGTGGTGGTTTGTACCTAACCTGCGGGTCGATTCGTATCCGTCCAAATTTTCAGTGAAGATCAAAACTTCAGCGAACAGATGTCAATTATCGCGTGCAACAAGTTAGTTAAATTAACGTAAAGTTCTGCTGTTTTTTTCTTTTTTTCTTTTCTTTTCTTTNATTATTATTATTATTATTATTATTATTATTATTATTATTATTATTATTATTATTATTATTATTATTATTATTATGTCGCAGAGAAATCAACTGAATGCTACATTCTAATCAGGCAGCACAGGGCGAAAACCGTAACCTGTGAGCCATGGAGTAAAAAAATAAATGTACATTAACTAATCCTAAAAAGCTTTTCCGCTGTGTCTACGGTCCTCCTAACAGGAAGTCAAACTGCCACCTTGAAAGTCCGGGCAATATTCAGCGTGCCCGAGAGCACTACCCTCTGCATCTTTATTATTATTATTATTATTATTATTATTATTATTATTATTATTATTATTATTGGCTGTACTAGGTGTTTTAAAGGCGAGGATTATTTTGGAACAGAAGCTTTAGTAATGAAATGCAGAGTAAAGAAAATTTGGTTACAAAAGGCAGCCTTTTACTGGATCCCCAGGTTCATTAAATAAAGGTAATCGATGAAAAGAAACGACTTTGCCTGCCTTATCAACCTTCGCCCTCCACACCCCCCTCCCTGAACAAAAACCGAGATATCGAAGCACAAGACTCGAAGAAAATCATACTCCTATCTGAAAAAATTCGTCATGGCCCAATTTACGGGACTCCGGCTAAGGACCTCACATTACTTTGATCCAAAAAAGTCTACCACACTTCGGCGAACTATCATGAAAGATTGCTATTGTTACACTCCAGATGATCAGTTCATTATGCTATACGATCGTGAATGTTCATCTGATTCATACGCTAAATAAATTGGATTACTGTATAGGAAAATATTTCAGTTCATAGCTAAGTGGGATAAGCGTTTATTATTAACATTAATTTTTTTTTTTTATCAGCAAGAATAAAAAACCCGAAAATTCCCAGAACGTTTTGAGCTACTCCTTACATTTAGAGAAAGAGATGAAACCCAAAAAAGAAAAAATTACTGTAAATGACAAATCAGCATCAGTTTTCGAGTCAGCGATCGTTTGACCAAAAAGATCAGCAATTTTCCCAAAAGATCAGCAATTTTCCCAAAAAAGAAATGTTACTCAGGGTTTTGAGGTAGCTAATTTTTGCATTTACTGGTTGAACGATTTTCTCGCCTACTTTTTCATAACAGCACAGAAAATAATGGAACCATTTCTGATCTTATTCAGACCGAAAGTTTATCAATGTTTATATTAATCAAGCGTATTGAATACACTGTAGCTTATCTCAATTAAACGCGCTTCCGTCGATCGAATATGAGTACCGCCTTTTCGAGGAATGACGCATATTGTGACGTCATCGTCTGATCTGATAGTTCGTGAAAGTCAGTAAGGCAGAGTTAACGATGTTCGTGACTTCCGGCAGCCACTCGTGACGTGTTCTGCAATCAAAAGCACTGATTTCATGGCAAACACACTTTGTCAAAAGTCGTAGATTCTTTTGAATACCTTAAGTAATTTTCTCACGCAAAGACATGAATGTAAAGATCATAAGAAAAATATTGGCGGACTTCTATTGAAAAGTTAATGATTGAACTCTCTAGATTGAGTGAGTGCATGTGATCATAATGCTGCAGTCATATTTCGTTTCTGTGGCCTGCTGTTTGTGAATTAATTTTAGTCGCCCATGGTTAAATGAAGGCTCTCGGTTGAAGTAGCCAATCACATGCGGCTAATTGGGAGTGATTGACACTTTTAGCTAAATTACTGTGACGTCACAGAGACTCATAACAAAAGGAAATCGCTTCATTTTCCGGGAGCAAGAATTGTACGAAGGCAAACGTCCACGATTTTAGGGGATATTTTTTCGCGTTTAGCGCCGAATCTTTGGTAAGTAAATAGCATCCTCAAAGTATTTATTAGTGAGATGATAATAATTACTGATATCTTTCGCCTAAGTTCAAAATTCGCACAGGGCGCTGGCAGAAAAGCGAGCCATATTTGTTTAGCTTTTGTTGTCAGCAGTCTGTGATAGCAACCTTGATCTTGAAAGAACAGGCTTTGTGGAATGTTGAAAACCTTCATTTTGGGCAGTTTGAAATCTGTTATGTCTAGTTGAATTATGTGATACAAAGTACAAATGGCGCTTATGTCGGCCCTCCCCATGCATAGCACGCGTGACCGAGGGCTTGTGGTTGTACAGAACATTCTTCAAGATCTTTGTTTTAACCTTGCTTTTATAGGCCTGTGGTTTGACTGAAAACTGTAAACGTTAGGTTATGTATTGCTCTTCGTTGTAAACTAAACCAGGCTTAAATGGAAGCGAAGAAGAAGCGAAAGAGCTTCTAAGACCGGCGGGATTCTCGGCCGGCTGAGTCATGGTTGCGTTGGATTTAGCGGACTGGATGAAACAGGTCTCACGGAACGATATGAAAGAAAAAGCCAGCACAATAGAAATGCATGGCATAGGCCCTTTCCATTTGTTTTCAGTTTCGTTTTATTTTAAGTTCCCCCATGATACTCAAATTATGTCGTCAGAAGCAAAACCTTGCCGGAAATTTCACGCCGTACGCTTTTTGCACAGCTTTCATATTTCGGCTGTTCTCTATCTCTTTCGTAATGTGCTTGGCATTTGTTAAGTTTCTATCATAAAATTGACAATTCTTGCTACAGGATCGCTAAAAAAGGTATGGTGGAGTGTTTCATGAGAATTGTAGGTATCTGAAAACGCGAGAGTCTAATTTTATGGCGTCGCGTCATATACGACCCATAAGAGAACCCGAGAAATTATTTATGTTGAGCAAACATGGCGGCCATCTGAAGTTATCCTTCGTTTATGTTTTCTCAGTGTTTTACCTTAAGATTTTTACATTGGGTGGAATTTTTCGTTAATTACTCAGATAGGATACGATTCTACAAGTTTTTCTTTACTGAGGAGTGGGATGAAGGTGTTATCGTTTTCCGCAGAGAACTTTTCTTTCTAAACCAGCGTTCCGACTTGGTGATATTTGAAATCGAACATCAACCTTGAGAGTGAAATGAAATCTTAAGCATTTAGTGAGACTGTTTGACATTTATCGTATTAATTTTCAGTCGCCCGAAAGAAATTAGTGTCTTTGGTTCGTTGTGCAATTTCTGGTCTTCCGGGAGTGAACAAATCTTTGCTACTCAGAAGACTACATACGTATATCGACGGCGTTCCGTCTGGTACTTACCGTCGATAGTTTCTTGTCTTTCGAATAACCCCTAATACATTTATATTCAAGCATGTGGTTATTGGAGCTATATTTTTGTGAACTGCCTCAATCTTTAACTTTAGTAAGTAGCACTTAAAAACCTTAGAAAGTGCTACTTACACAACAGAGTTCAGATCAATTCAGATATGTTCTTAATAACCAGTAAGCTGAAATTAACATTCATGGCCTTTCTGTTTGGGACATTTTTCGTCGTGAAAAATATTCACATACAGCTACACTATTCCTTAGCTATTTAACGAGTTGTGTATTTGATGAGGATAGTGTGAGGAGTTTCTTGTTTAACTGCACTTTATTATTTTTTGCTTACCTAAAAACATACTCAGTAATCAGTAGAGCCAGGTTCTTGATTTTATTTTCATTATACATCTACTGCATATATTATAATTTGTTATAAATTTGTTTAAATGTATATTAGTATCAGTGCTGTGGTAATGTTTACCTGAAATGTTGTGTTTTGCTTTGTGTGGTGGTCTGTTCTATAACTAGTATAATTTCAGTTGTAACATTGAAGAAACACAATTTACAGTGAATTGATATCATTCTAGACATCACTCTGTGTAGAGATTAAAGATGCATTCTACTGAGCAAGCCAAAAATTTGGTAAATTTTCCATTTGTGGGTCCAAACATGCTTGTAATTATCACTGAAATAGATGAGTAGAAATTTATCTATAGCCAGAATTTTCTAAATCACGCCATCAACATAGAGTAGATCCTAATGAGAAATGCCTGCAACTCTTCTTTATCTGAAATTCTGTTGTGTCTCTTGAACTTTTGGTACAAGTTGCTAGGCTAAGGTAGAATTTTTACAGGTTTCTTTGTTTGTATTCGATATTTAGAGTTTGTGTCTGATAATTGAGTCATGTATCAAATTGCTCTCAAAGTTTAACTAAGATCTGTGTCAGGTGACATTCAGTGACCAAGGGACAGTCATGCATACTCAATCATTTTAGATATCATTGAACACTCGCATGTTTGCTATGGGAAGATTTTACTGCTACACAGCATGAACATTTGGCTGTTATGTTGACTTCAAACTTATTTTTTCCTTTTTTTCTGTCGACGAGAAGGAAATAATCATTTTTTTTTTCTCAATTTCCTTCCTTTCTGGGATGTAAAGGGGAAATACATTGTACAGTAGATGATTTGTTGCTGAATATTTTCTAATGAGTCCAGATATAAAGAATAGGACTTGACACTCAATTGGCATACACTTTTTTGGCTTGAGGTAGTTAATTTTTGCAGCTGTTTTGATGTGCAAGCATTCTTTTTCAGGAATGTATTTTTGGGGATGGAGGATTATCCATAAATTATAGTAAACTAAAACAATCATTGTTTTATTTCTACATGGTACACCTTAGTTGTACAGTAAACCTCAGTAATGATTTTCTTTTTTTCACAGTGTGATGGAGAGAGGTTCAGATGATACGCAGCAACCCTCTTTGTGCCGCATGGGCTGCGGATTTTATGGCTGTTCCTCAACTGATGGTATGTGTTCAAAATGTTTTAAAGATGCTTTAAGGCGAAAGCAATCTTCACCAACAACCAGTGCAGCAGCTGTTGTATCGAGTTCCTCAACAGGTAAGTCTTAATGTAGAATTGTAGTCTGAGTGGCATCTTTTCCATCTGTCAACAACTCTGTAACAGTTGATACAAACAAGGTAAAAAAATTTTCTGGGGTAACTGGAAATAAATTCAGTAGGGGAGTAGTACAACAAGCCAGCATAAATTCTTCTTTTTAGAGTTTGAATCTTGCCCTTTTGAAGTAAGTGATGGAAGTTCTTCCAAAGGTGACAGCATAGGGCAAAGGGCTATTTGAAGTATATGAAGTTCCTGTGCATAATGCACATGTTGAAGAAATCCCCCAGCAAATATCTGTTTTCTGAAAATCTGTCAGTTTTTGCTGAATATTCATAGTTTGAAGAAGTTAAGATTGTAAATCTGTTCATGAAGCTAAGTACATTGACCCTCTTTGCAGCCTCTTTAGGCCTTCTATGCTTAATAATTTTTTTTAGTATTAAAGGTCAGTCCACTGATATGACTAAATTGGTGTTGCATATGTGCAGACACTGTCATTTATGTGGTTTGTTTGTTGGATGGATTGGGTGAGAGCATCAAAGGGAGATTACTTGTGTAAGATGAAAACCAAAGAAGTGATATTGAATATGCATGTTTGTGAGTACCATAATAACAAAACAGTTAAACATGGACATGGATTTGTTAGCAACGTTCACACATATATTCTGTGTATTACAATGGACTGTAGATACATCTACGTGTTCCACTGTAAGATAACAACCTGTGCTTATTTTTAATTTGGCACATGTCCAAAAAACAACTCCAGTTTGCTTAAGTACTTACTAGAAGTATGACTCAGTACATTCTGTTTGTAGAAGATTGAAAATGAAACAGTGTTTGGGAAAAATATCCTGTTTGTGCCATGCTTGCATTCCTTGAAAGAAAAATAAAGTATCATGTGACTTAGTTTAGCCTGGAGAGGAAAAAACAGAAGTGTGATATAGCAAATAAAGCAAGAACATGATTTTGATCTTTTCTGTGTTAATTACAATAAAAGGGGAAAATTTGATCTTTTCAACAAAGGCTTCTGATATGAGAACTGAAACAAAATTGAGTTGCATAACTGAATGTCAGCTTAGACTATCTAAGAAACGATGAATATATGAAGTTCATATATTTTGAACTGCGGTTATTGATACGTATATGATGCACAATCCTCGCAGTAGAGAGCGCTATTTATGCAACAGCGAAAAATCAGACCGGAAAAAAATCAAGCCTATACAGGATTCGAACCACTGACCTCTGCAATACTAGTGCAGCCCTCTACCAATTGAGCTAACAAGCCAACTGGGAGCAGGCCGTTAAGTTGATTCGTAATAAACCCATGATGATAAATTAGATATGATGAATATATGAATATATTTTTTTCAGGTCTGATTTTCACTATTGCATAAATAGCGCTCTCTTCTGCGAGGATTGTGCATCATACTTAGACTATCTTGTCATGCCATTTCCTTCAGTGACAATGAACAACCTCTGCTCAGAAACAAAATAAAACAACAACCATTTCTTTACTTTCAGGATTGCCTGAGGAGCCATGTACCTCTCACCTCCCTCCAACTGAAGATAGTGTAACAACGGAAGTGAGTCCTTCATCTTCCAATAGTAGTGTTGGAGAAGAAAATAATAGTTTAAGACAACCAGAGGCACAAGCTGAGGCATCTTCGTCTGATAGCAAGGACAAAGCTAAAACCAAAAGGAATAGATGTTTTATGTGTCGGAAAAAAGTAGGATTAACAGGTAAGACATAATAAATTTTGCTTTTTTAATAACTCTCTTGAAGGAAAAAGAAAACAGTTAAGGCCATTCCTCAGAAAAAAAGTTACCAGTTTTGAACAATTTTTTAAACTTCATTTAAGTTCCATAACTAGGTCTTTTTCAAAAAATGCAACTTAAAAAAGGTCACCATGCCTGATTAAAAGATAAAATGAGCCGAACTTACCCCAATTTTCCCTCTGCTGGCACTTATCTTGCACAGCATTTCATTGGTTCATGGTACATTTTGCGGTAGCTGGAAGAAGCAAGAAACACTTGAAGAAAACTTGATTGGTAGAAAGACTCAAGAGTAGGGAACAATTTGATAAATGAGGAAAAATCAATCGATTTTAAACAACAGTGACTCAAAATGTTCCTTGGGTGGTTACTTTCAAGGTTGTAATTTGTATTCTCGCGTAACAACCTTTGTGTGCTCTTCAAGCCACATCTTTTTTTCCCTTTGATAATTTTTTTTTTTCAATTTCTTCAATTTAAAGGAGGCCTAATTTTTTTAACCAAAATTTTCCAATATACATGTAAAATATAGATTACCGTCCTTGTTCAAGAGCAAAAGAACATCATACTTGTCTAACTTGTCCGTTGATTGAAAAACAGCACCATTTACATGTATGTGCAGTACAGGTTGTGCACATCCTGGGAGATGCAGGGGCTGTGAGTCGATTTCAAGTTATGGCGGAAGAGCCCCTGGGGACATTGTCTTACAAGACTAGTTCCAAATGGTGGCAGTCGTTCTGGCATCTGATTGGTGCCAGAAAATCTTTGTGTTTTTCTGCCCAATCAGAGTGAAGTGTGCTTTAGAGTCCTTTCATGTGTGTTAACAAGGACGTTATACAAGAAGCTCGGTTGCTCACCATGTTTGTTTGGGCTGTGCAATGGAGCTTTGCTCGAGGAGAAAAGTTTCAGTCTTAGCACACAATGTAAGAGAAATCTATCAGATTGTCTGCAAAAATCTCACCGGAAATTATACTGAATACTTTCGCAGGTATCACAAGAGAACTTGTTTAAAAGTTTGCAAGGTTTTTATAAAACACAATGGTTGCAGGTGTTGATATGTTGCTTTAAATGTTAGATGAGATGTAAGCTTAAATCTTTCTAGGTTTTTTGTATAATTTACTGTAACTGAAACTTTGCTAATCCTGTGAAGTTATTTCGTCGCAGGGGCCACGCAGGTATGTTGAGCAACTGGTGCTTACGCTTATGTAGCTTTCTGTGCACACCAAAATCTAATCTTCGCTTTGTAGTAAAGTCTTTCACAATATGGCCAAGGTTGCAGAGAACATTAAGTTTGTGGACAACCTCAAACAAGCGCTTAGAGAAAGCTTAGCTGTGTTTCCGGTTAGCTAATTAAATCTGAACAAAAACTTATCAAGAACATTGTGGGAAGGAGAGATATTTTTGGACAGTTACTGAAGGGGTTTGGAAAGAGCTTAATCTTTCAACTGCTGCCTAGAGTGTTCAAATTCTTGAGCTCGAAAGGCCACAGATTCTCTTCTAGTTCCCTTGTCACTGTCATTTCATCTCTTTTGTCGATTGTGGAAGACCAAATTAAATACCTAAGTTGATCACTAGGAATCAATGCTTCTTTCATTGGGGAAAACAAAACCAAAGACCAAGAAATTGGATGGAGAGGGTGGGTTTGCTTTATTGTAAATGTCAGCTTAGTACAGGGTCATCTACCCACATCTCATAAACAAAAATTTTCACGCTTAGCTTTTCTTTTTTTTTCAAGCGAAGATTACTGGCTGCATAAGCACCACTTTCTTGACATGCCTGCGTGGCCCGTGCGACGAAATAACTTCACGGGATTGGCAAAGTTTCACAGCAAATTATACAAAACATCTAGAAAGATTTAAGCTTACATCTCGTTTAACGTTTAAAGCAACATATCAACGCCTGCAACCATCGTGTTTTATAACGAACCTCGCAAACTTTTAAACATGTTCTCTTGTGATACCTGCGAAAGTATTTAGTATAATTTCCAGTGAGATTTTTGCAGACAATCTGATCGATTTCTCTTACATTGTGTTCTCAGACTGAAACTTTTCACCTTGATCAAAGCTCTGTCGTATGGCCCAAACAAACATGGTGAGCAACCGAGCTTCTTGTATAGGTCCGTGTTAAAACACACAAAAGGATTCTAAATCACACTTCACTCTGATTGGGAAGAAAAACACAAGATTTTCTGGCACCAATCAGAACGAGAACGACTGCGACCATTTGGAACTAGTCTTGTAAGACAATGTCTCCAGGGGCTCTTCCGCCCTAACTTGAAGTCGACTCACAGCCCCTGGGTCAGTGGGTTGTGCAGTGCAATACTAAGGAATCGCCTTAAGGCTTTCATTCTGTAAAAGTTGCAACATTGAAATAATGGCAATTATGCACAACAATACTTACTTAAATTTTGGCCCAATCAGGGAGAATTCACTTAAAATTTCTACATCCAAGGTGCTTCAATGACCTCTCAGCCTCTGCTTTATATATTTCTTGATGTTTTTCTTGAATTTGGCACCAGTAATTTGTAATCCAGTGAGCATGACCTTGCTAGAACTGTAACCACTGCAACATTGTTGTTTTACTCTGATTGTTCTTTGTCAGTGTGATGAATTGTGTCATTTGGCCAAATCAGAGCATTCTGCTCCTTCGCACCTTAAAACCTCGGTTAGCAAAGACTTTGGAGTAACTAACTTATCAGGTTACTCAGTGAGAGATGAGGAAGAGGAGAATTACATGTATGCCTGAGTAGAAATTGAAATTTACAAAAACAACAACAGCAGCAAGCTTGTGAAGATTTCCATCTTTAAAATTACCACTGAGAGGTGCACCTAAGGGATCACAAAATCACTGAGTACAAGAACTCATTCATTATTTGACACGAGTGCTTGAAGGCAACATTTGATGAGGAAAATGTCTATGGTTCATGGAAGTTGATACCACTACCTTTTGATTTGATTGTAATAATTTCTCTGTGCTATATTATTTTTTTTGTGCTTAATTATTTATATATAACCCTTACATATTTGTGTACTTTTTTAGGATTTGAATGCAGATGTGGGAATGTCTATTGTGGCCTCCACAGATATTCTGATAAACATGACTGCAGTTTTGACTACAAAGCTGATGGCAGGGCAAAGATATCAAAAGACAATCCTGTCATTGTTGGCTCAAAGATTCAGAAAATTTAAGCTATTGAGAACTTAAGTAGGAATGCCCAAGTGAAAGGGAATGATCAGCTGCTACATTAATTTGAAATGTAACTGATTTTATTTCTCAAAAGACAGTCCTTGGATGTGAGTAAATGTGACTAAAGTGCATGATTGTTTGTATAAGAGGTATCTTGTAGCATGTTTGTGGAGTCAAATACAGTGTTGGGTGACTTGTTTAACTGTGATTTTTCATTTTCTAAAGCTCTCCCTCTAATTACTTCTTGTTCAGCAGTTTTGAGAGTCATGTCATGTTACAGATTTAATCTTGGTATTAACTATCATGCTCAAGTTTAGGTTTTTATTTAGGAGACCTAATGAAGGTACTTATCAATTACATGATTTTTTCTCAATGTAAGTAAAGTAGAAACCTTTTCTTAAATATCATCAAGTCCAGTTTATTTTTGTCTGTATACTAAACAGGAAATTACAATCTCATAGTGTGCTTGAATTTCTTCAATCCTTCTACTATGTTTCAGTTCCTTGTGTAACGGGTATATATTTCTCTATTCAAGATTCGAGCATTCCCTTATCTTCTTTGTAGTTATGATATATATCCTTGTTGTTCTTCCCAAAATGCTTGTTTTGTATTTGTTTTGCTGAATTATTGAAATGAAATTTATTGCAGCGTAACTCCTTATAAGATATGCCAGGTTCCTGCAAGGACTTAAATCTGTCGGTAGGCAAGGCATAGGGAACTTTTGAGCTACTTTCAGGAATTTTGAACAGCAGTATTCCTATGGAATTTTTTCTGCATAGGTGGCTATAATTAAAAACTAGAAATTGGCAGTAGAGGGTATCCTTAATAGTGGGTGAACTGTGTAAAATACAAAAACAGTGAATTCATTTGGGATATTCTTTGTGTAGCCTAAGCATTAAAACAGATAGTATTGACTATTAATTTTTATCTCAGTGGTACAGTAATGTAGACATGTTTTTTTTTGTTTTTTAGCCACACTATAACCTGAGTCTAACATATTGCGTATTCTTTATCACAACATGTCTTTTGCATTACTGCTTGGCTGTATATGTAGCATTAGGTTTAGGTAAATATTTGTTAGTCAATTCATTGTGCATTCCTATGTGTGAACGTATTCACAGCAGAGGTTTAAAATGTGGATACTAGTTAGTGCCTACAATGGTAGCATCCTGACCTCGTGGAGTCGAGGGCAGGGAATAAGACATCTACTGGAAGCTCATAGTACACCACTTCCCAATTAAAAGCAAGACTTTTGGAAAAATTCAGCTCCACTGAGTTATTACTTTTGGAGTTTTTGGAAAGGAACACGTCCCTCACGGAAGCTTTCATGTCGTTCTGTACAACAAAATTTGATTCTTCTGTCCTTCTAATCCTAAACATTTTTTTAGACAAAAAGTAAAAGAAAAAAAAATCATCTGACAATTGAGGTTGATTGTGTAGCTGGTGTACTCTCAGCTCACTGTAAGTGATAGCACAGTAACTAAACCTCACCCTGGTGAAGTCTTGTTTGTTGACCTTTGTGACATGTACTTTTTTGAGTAACTTAGTTTTCCTCTCTCAGTTTAGCAAGTGATCATTCAGTCGATTAATGGCATTAATTTCTTTCACTTTTTGCACCAGCAAAAAGTTCTTTTCTATAGGATTAGTTAGTTGCTCGCAAGGTGATAAAAATATTTAATGAGTCGCAAAATTTGGAAGATTTTGATTTTTTTTTTTTTCCTGAATCGTCACTTGGGTTTCTTTGTATTATATAATATTGTTAAAGAGAATTTCAAGTTTGATCAAGTTCACGCATCGGAATGTCACAGTGTTGGGTGGGGCCGGGTAAAGAAAGCTATCTACAGATATCGATATTTTGTACAGTACTTAGTGATAAAATAATTGCAACTAACATAACAATGAGATATTGTAAGTATGTAATGTAACACAAAATGATGACATTGAAAAGTCCACGGATTTTCGTATTATATTATGCAGTGTAAAAAATGGTAATTATGGCTACATTTATGTGATAGCTTTGAAAAGAGTTGTTGTTAATGTGTTGGCTATTAAGACAGTTTCAGTTGCAGCATTGTGTGTTTTTTCTCACGGGTTGTGTAATGCAAGCTTTTCTCTGTTGTCAAATTATAATAAATTTCTCATTGCTATATCAGTAAACAAGTTGGCTGTTGTGTGTCAAAAACATTTCGTTACCAGGGGTAACCGTTGTTAGTCAGTCATCATTTTGCGACGTTTGTTGGTTCTAGTTTAGAGATATTTCTCTCGCCAAGGAGGGACACGGTCCATATGTCTTTTACATGGAAATGTGCACCTCAAAACAATTCGAACACGAGTGTGAAAACAAATGTTGGGTTTTTCCGCAGCCGTTGTCTTCTGGGCTTGAAGTACCCATGCACGTCCACGAAGAAGTTTGGAAGGGAAGGGGATTTTAATAAAACGAAGATTAATCTTACTCTGCATATTGCCACTTTCAAGACGTGTGCATAATTATTGCGTTTACCTGGGCCGCCCTTAAATAAGCATAAACGTTTGTGTTACAAAGCACTGCTCTCCGAAAAAGCGCCAAATTTTGTGGTAGAAAAAGAGTATTGCGTGGCTAGAGTGAAAGAAACTTTGCAAAGGAGACGACCATCCGGCATTCATTTCCACCTGCACCTGGTTTATCCAAAGGTTAATGTTCAGCTAAATCTACAATCCCCTGCGTGACGACTTAACTGCAGTAAATACGAAAACAGTGTGACAACGAGATTGTTTCTTTTCTATCTATTCGACATTCCTTAAGCGACTAAAGTTGTGAAGCTTTGACCTCTGAGACGGCCTTTTTGCGTCGCTATGACGGAAAGAAAACAATGTCCAGAGTAGTAAAGTGGTCTGTTTTTGACCGGAGATGTTCAACATTCGGAGACGTGAGTATTTCGTCTCAGTCAGCCACGCCACAAGATGTAGTGTCGTTCTCTGTACTTCCTTGAAAGTTTCAAATATTTGTAATCGGAATTAATTTTGGCGTTCAATATTTGCACGATCTAAGGATTCGAAGTTGCTAATCTCGCCTAATCTGGGATCTTAAGTTTTGTCATTTAAGCTTGACAACGTTTCCCGCTCTATGGGATTCGTGCGCGGATTGGCTAGAAAGCGACTTGATGACAACCTGTTGTTTGTCGTAGTGTTTTACAAATACAAAAGTGTCATATTTGTATCGCAGGTATCAGACAGACGCGCTCCTTCTTAAATCTTGGTACCCCTTGAACATCGTTTCCTCCCTTTGATTCCTACACGGCAAGAATTGCGAGATGTCGTACGAAGGCGTTCCAATGACAGAGAAGGGAGAAGAGAAAAAGGAGTCGGGAGAAGGATTTTTTCTCTCGCGAACAAAAGCAATCGTCTTGGTAGTTATTGTGATCTTGTTGATCATCTTTGTCGGGGTAATGGCGGGCGTATTTAGCGCCAGAAAGGCGAGAAAAGACGCGCTCGCAGAGATGACGACGGAAAAACCAGTCAGAGCGACCGGGGAAGGGCCTACGTCCGAATTGAAACCCACTAAGGAACCAACTGGACCTGAGCCGTGGTATAAAATCCGACTGCCGCAAAACATTCGACCAATTCACTATGATCTGTACCTAGATCCGCATTTGGAACAAAACACTTTTAAAGGTAAAGTCTCAGCGTTGGTTGAAGTTACCAAAGAATCTGACTACATGTCTTATCTACTGATACATATCAATGACATGAACGTGACGGAAGCCAAAGTTCATAAACGCGATCCGAACGCGGGGCCCAACGCCGCTACCCCAGGAGAAGAAATTCCTTCGAAGACCTTCGAATATCCGAAAAATGATTATTATGTGTTCGAACTGACGAAAGATCTTGAAGCTGGTGGCCAGTATGTATTGGTTATGTCCTATAAATCGACATTTTCCAGTCAGTTAAATGGCCTGTACATAAGTACCTACACAAACGAAAAAGGCGAGACGAGGTAAGTCTAGTTTTCATTTGACAAGTGTTATATAATTTGTGACTATTCAAGCCTCACGAATGTCCTTGAAATTTTAAATAGACGAAGAAACAGAAAAGGGTTGAGAGCAAGGAAAATTATGATATGTTTTTATTGCACCGTGCGCCTGAGAAATGTATAGACATTTGGAAAAATTAGGGTTTGAGATCGAGCGTGAAGAGTCAAAAGTCCTGCTATTCGTCTCAAAACAAGATAATATAAAAAAAATTTAAGAGAGAGAGATTATCATTTTTCTTCTTATCAAGTTAAAGGATTAGTTTGATAGTGGATTCAAAGCCCCTTAAGCGAACATTGTAGGACTTCCCACAAACTGGACGAGGATTGTGTGACATGCCCCTTCAATGGACACAGTAAACCACATATTTGAGCCTCACCTGTGTCAACCATGAAAAAATAAGGCTGTAATCCGTCGAATCCAACTGAAAGAAGAATGACAAAAATCAGTTGGAATGGCAGTCTTCAGTCCTATATTTTCTAGCATCGTACATTAGTTTTAAAAGTACGTAAGAAAGAGGAACGCTAGCCACAATGCGGTTTTGGCAGTTAAATAATTCCTTTAGAGAGAAGCTGTCATTTGTTTATTTTAAAACAATTTGATTGATCGGCGTCTGGCTCTGCAGTTAAACGAATTTTGACGTGTTTCTATGACTGGAGCATGTGTTCAGCTTTTGCTATCGAGACTGAACCGTCAAAATGACACACCCTTTTCGGAAAAATGGGGAGAATATTGGCGAGCATAGTACTTCTCAAGGTCGAAAATCATTATTTTTTCTCTGACTGAGATATAAGAAGGGTCGTACAACCATGTCACGCTGCAACCAAACGGTACGTTTGGATGGTTGGATATTAGCCTCGTTCTTTTTTCGCATCTTATGGACCTCGACTTTGTCTCNAATTTATATAATACATGACGATTATGATATGGCTACATTTTATCATTTTTAACTTCTTTGTGAGGAAGACAGACGCGGCATCTGAGACCTGTCGTGTATTACGAGATTCCACAAACATACAGTGCGCTTCACCTGGATAATAAATGCATTATCCACTACTTTACTTTATTATCCAAATGTTCTTCGTGAGTACAAATAACACGCGAGACAAGTACAAATATCACGCGATATTTGTACTCCAGAAATACCCACGAGATTCGCTCGCACTGAAATGACAATTTGGCGTGTTGGATAGTAAATCTCTTATCAAACATTTGTTGTGTAGTATCGCGGAGTATTTTTACTCGTTGTTTGTATCCAAACTCGCCCTACAGGCTCGTGAAAATACGGCACAACTCGTTAAGATACTCAGCGATACCACACAACAAAACGTCTAATAAGATGTATTTATTTTCTAACTACACCTAGACGAGTACAAATAACGCCAAAGACGAGTACAAATATCACGCGGTATTTGTACTCGTCTATTGTAGAGTACCGGTCAAACAGGTTTCCTCGCATCGCGCAAGCGAAGAATTGGATTGTAGTTACGAAAAAGAAACAAATGGCGGACAATTTGAATCATATTTCCGACGACGAAGAGTCAGAATGGCTGGCAAATATAGATCCAAGTTCATTAGATGAATCGAACGAAGAAAAACAGCTTGACGACCAGAAAATTTCTTCATTTAATGAAGAAAATAGAAACAGCAACACAACAACGCGCCAATTCCGTTCCGCTTCGCATACTTCTGTCACGCGAAATTCGCGAGAAATGAAATAATGAAATTCCGCGAAATTCGCCCGCACTGAGATAACAGTTTGGCGTGTTGGATAATAAATAACTTATTAGATGTTTTGTTGTGTAGTATCACTGAGTATTTGTACTCGTTATTTGTATTTTGACTCGCCCTACGGGCTCGTCAAAATGCGGCACAACTCGTAAAAATACTCAGCGATACTACACAACGAAACGTCTAATAAGATATATGTATTTTGGGTCTTCCAAACTTTATACACGAATCTAATTACGCAACAGTAGACATTTAAGGATTTATTTCGGAGTGGTTGTGTTTAGAAACCAAATTAATGTTAGGATTTCAATAAAAAAAAAAATCCTTTCGCGTCCTTCGTGCGTTTGTTTGTTTGTTTGTTTTTTCCCTTTTGCCGCTAATTTGGTTTTCCGGTCGTTTCATGCCGATTTAGGTGGTTGTTGGTTCATCCGCTTAATTTTTCCTTATTGGAAAAACGCCACCACCTTTATTGAGCCAAAAGCATACCGGAGAAACATCGACGGAGGCGAGGAAAACTTTTTTTTTCCTCACTTAAATCCCCTCATTTTTTTGTTTCTAAATTCAACGGTTTCTTCCAAACCAGGAAGTTGCGAAAGTTAGAATCTTTTCGACCATGCTATCCGATCCCCTTTCACACATGTTTACTAGAAAGATTAGACAAATGGAACGAACTAAACCAGTTCCAGTCCTTTAGCCACGACTGATCTTTCATCGTCATGCGTACCGTTAGCTTTCGCTACCATCAGCATGCAGCACATTGTTTAGATTCCTAATAGAAGTAAACAGGCGAAACAAAACTGAAACTCCCTGAATAATTTCGTCTTCCGGCTGGAGCGGAGTAGGGAACTGTAAGCCGGAATCTCCCGTGCATATGACTACCGACCAGAGTCTTACTTCTAAGGAGTATCATTTAATTCAAAGAGCAAGTGTAGCACGGCTTGCCTCAAGGTCGTTTTCGAGCTGATTTTCTCTTCCAAGGAGGAAAAAAGTCCTAAAAAGCAGGATGTCAGACGATGAATTTCAATTGAAACTCGAAGAGGATGGGGAAGATGAGAAAAAAGAGCAAGAGTTTGTTGTCACGCGATCGAAAGCAATCGGGTTGGTTGTATTTGCGATTGTGTTGATAATATTTTTCGCAGTGATTTCGGGTGTTTTTAGCGCCCGTCGGGCAAGAAATGAGGCTCTGGAAGAAAATGCAAAGGGAGGTAAAGCTCCCGGGGAGAGGCCAGTTCCTACGGACGAACCTAAAGTAACTGCAGGGACTGAGGAGTTAACATCAACAGCAGCTCCCATGAACGCATCTACAAACGCGTCCGGCCCAATTTTCAACGTGACCGTGATGACACCCACAGCAGAACCTGTGAAGCCGTGGGAGAACATCCGACTACCCCAAAATATTCGTCCCGTTCACTACAATGTCTACCTAGATCCGTACTTGGAGTTAAACACTTTTCAAGGAAACGTGTCCATCTTAATAAATATCACGGAAAAATCAGATGTCATGTCCTGCATTTTAATTCATATTAAGGACATGAACGTGACTCACGCTAAAGTTTACAAACGCGATGCAAACGCGACATCCAACGCCACTACCCCAGGAGAAGAAATCCCTTCAAGGACCTTTGAATATTCGGAAAACGATTACTTTGGGTTCGAACTGGAGAAAGATCTCGAAGTTGGCGCTGAGTATGTATTGGTTATGTCCTATAAATCGAGATTTTCTAGTCAACTGAATGGCTTGTACATAAGTACGTACACAAATGAAAAAGGCGAACCGAGGTGGGTAAGTTTGGGATATGATGGTAATTATTTTCAAGAAAGTGTGAAAGTTATCAACTTTCTTATTCACTATTTTTTATGCATTTTACTGGCCGGAAGTGAGTTGGAATAACTTTGCTGTTATGGTTTTCGGTATATGATAAACTTTTGATAATGAAACTTCAAATTGTATTGATTCAGTATGTACTTTCTGGATAATTATTTGCACATTATTATGTATTTGTTATTAAACAGTATGCATCCTTTCCAATATCAAGGACTTCAGAAAATTTGTTTGAACTGACATCTCTTTGTTAACATATGTTGTAAATTGTAGATATTGATTTAATCAGAGTACCTTTTTTACAAAGTACAAATATGGTAGCTATAAATGCACCTCTCCAGGAAAGAATATAATAATTTTTTAGTGATGTGATGTAGAGGAAATCTTTGTAGAAAAGCAAGCATGATATTGTATTGGAAATATTTTGTCTTTAAATAAAAATGTATGCAATAAATATGTCCTTGCTTCCTTATGGTGAAGCATTTACTTTGCACCTTTTTTCTTTTTAATGGGTAATGAAGTTTTTGAAGTAAAAGCTCAGGTTGTCTTTGGGATACAAGTGGAAACTGCTTGTTTAATGTATATCATTTTAATATCTTAAAGTGTAGCACCTTTAAATGGCACATTATAAGTAATTTGTTTGGTCTCATATGCAAAGCTTAGGTTTGGATACCAAACCTGACACTACATTCTGAGTGCTTCTTCAATCCTTAATTAACATATCTTCCCACTTAAACATTTAAAAGGAAAAATCTTTTTTAGCTTTGTGACAGGTGGTTCTCATTACAGCATTCATGAGTTTGTAGAGCAGGAAAGACTGATACCCTATTCACACCAAAATATATCATTTGAGTTCAACTAAACTTAACTGTGTGAACATCAGAAACATGCAGAGAACTGAAAAACTGAATTTTCCTTGGTTTCATGTAGTTGCTAACTTGTATTTTTTTATGTGCTTAATTTGAAGTTGACAAACATCAGTTTCAGCAGCTTACCAATTCTATTAAGAAGACACTTTTAAAGGGTGTTTAACAAAACAGCTTTAAATCGTGTTTAAGCTTTGGTGTAAATGGGATACAAGTCTTGCAACAGATTCTTCCAGTTCATAATCTAATTGCTTTCAATATTTTATGGAATTTAGCTGTCCTTGGTATCACTTCACCAACCTGATTATAAACCAGAGTGTATGCTTTTTGTTTCAGACGCCTTGCAACTACAAAATTTGAGCCAACTGATGCACGCAAAGCCTTGCCGTGTTTTGATGAGCCTGCCATGAAAGCAACATTTTCCACCGTGATTGTCCATGAGAAAGACTACAAAGCATTGTCAAATATGCCAGTGGTTAAACAAGAACAGCTGTCTAATGGGAGAATAGAATCACATTTCATGAAGTCAGTCCCGATGTCTACATACTTGCTGGCATTTATTGTATGTGACTTCGAGTTTACTAATGCCACCACTGGGCAGCATAAGAACATTACAGTGAGTCAGTTGTTAAATGTTTTATGATTATAGATTTGAGAATTATTGGTGTGGCCTTAAAACCTTAAAATAATGTCTTGTCCCAGAAAAGGCAATATTTTCTTGGTCAAGCATGGCCCAAAATAAGCATACACTGCCTTTGAGTAAGCATTCAAGTGCATTCAAATGCATTCAAGTGAAAATGTGTTAGTACAGTGAGTGGTTTGAAACCAGGGGTAACATGAAATGATGTGATCTGACTGTCTGTGTGAGAGTTGTCTATACACAACAACTTTTTCACTCGACTGATAATCAGACTTCTGCTGAGGTTAACAAAACGTCATTCACCACTTAACCAGCAACAGCTCATCTCAGGACTGCTCTAAGTGATTGCCACATTTGCAAAATGCTTCCTCCCTTTAGGGATTAGGAGTGAAACTGGAGAAAGGTATACATACAACTTTGTCTAAAAAAAGTCTACCAACTTTTGAATTTCATAACAGCTCAGAGTGTGGACAACACCAACCCAAGTAGACCAAACAAAATTTGCACTGGATGTTGGAAATGGTATCATCACATACTATGAGGAATACTATAACCTGGGTTATCCTCTTCCTAAACAAGGTTTGTGTTTGTCTGTAANCATGACCATGCAAGGCTAGGTTACTTAGCTAAAGGGGCAATGCCACATGAGGCAACATGACCTGAATTCATATACTGGTTTTATTCTGTAGGAATATGAAACTATTCTGCTGCAGGAAGGCATTTTGTGGTAATTGTTTGCTCAAGTATTAGTTGAGAATATGAAAACTAAGAATTTACACCAGGGCTCAAGATTAAGTCCTGGCCATCCTTTCAATATTACCAAAATTTTTTTCAGACATGATTGCGATACCAGATTTCTCATCTGGAGCCATGGAAAATTGGGGATTAATTACTTATCGTGAGACAGCTCTGCTCTTCAATGAGGGTGTGTCCTCTGAAGCCAACAAACAAAGAGTTGCTGTGGTGGTTTCTCATGAGCTGGCTCATCAGGTATGAAATGAAAATCACATATAACTGTCCAGTTAATTTTCATATATTGAGGATCTGATGAAATCCACATGATATACTCTAAGTAATATTAGAGTTGATGGCACACCCTGCTTCCAGAGAATTCACTTCGAATCAAATTTATATTTTAAGGCCTAATGTTTAACAAAGTTAATTGTCATTCAAAGACTAAGTGAAGGTATTGAACTTCCCATGGTAGTGTTACAATGTTACTTGACTGTATAGTTACCAATTTTATTCCTAATCTTAATGAAATGTGTTGCATCTTTCAGTGGTTTGGGAACATTGTGTCTCCCAAGTGGTGGAACGACTTGTGGATGAATGAGGGTTTTGCAAGTTTTGTAGAATACTTAGGTGTCAATCACACCCAACCAGATTGGGAAATGGTAAGCTGGGTTTTTTCACTGTTGCTCCACAAATAACAAACTATTCTTGTTGCACTTTATTTCTGGTAGCCTCTGTTAAAAGCAATTGTTCCATTTGTAATTACTAGAAGAAATGTTGAGTTGGTAACTGACTGAATTCCTGACTGACTGACAGACAGACTGACTGACAGACAGACTGACTGACAGACAGACTGATTTGAAGAATAACTGATGAACAGACTGGCTGACTGACTTACCTGCTCATTGACCTGCTAAATGACTGGCTGAAAGATTGAGTGAGTGACTGATTAACAGATGGTCAAAATGACATACTGACAGACTGACTGATTGACTGACTGACTGACAGAATGAATTATCCAATGACAAACTTACAGACTGACTGTCTGGCTGGCTGGCTGACTTGCTGACCGTTTAATAGATTGATTTACTTTATCATTCATTTATGCAGAAACAGTAGATGGAGGTGCAAATAATTCCACATTAGAACGAGACTCTTTAAGCACACATGTTAATTTCTTAACTCTGAAGGAACTACAATCCAGTTGATATAAAAATTAATAACTTCCAAACATGTTGATGAAGCATCATGAAAATAATGAGTTTCTAATTGTGACTACTAATTTAAAAAAATTTTCTCTCTACAGATGGAGCAGTTCCTATTGTCAGATCTTCAGAGGGTTTTTCCTCTTGACTCATTGGCAAGCTCTCATGCCATATCAGTTGAAGTTGACCATCCCAAGAAAATCAAACAGTTATTTGATAGGATTTCCTACAGCAAGGTTGGCATTAGCAAATGACTCATTTTTATTAATAGATTATTTAATTTTAAAATATAATTTACATTTTCTGTCTTGATGATAAATTGATTATAAATAATTGCATGCTCGTGAGACTCCATTAATTGTCAGTATTGTATTATAGAGGTGTTTAATTAACTAAAACAAATCCCCCTCTCAGAAAAGTGTTTATAGAGTCAACAGAATAAATTCTCTGTTGATTAATTAGCAAGATTTTGAGTTGCTAAACTATGTGCTTGCAAAGGCTGTAAAGTCTGTCAATATATTTGTAGTTGTATGGTCACAACTTACAACACACTTTCATATGCAGTTTTCACATCATTTAAGTATATTTCCCAACATTAATATTCACATCCACACTTCAAAATATGACATTACAAACTTAAGGCAATTTAGAGATCTCTTGCTTTATTTTCAGGGAGCCTCTATTATTCGAATGTTGGAAGGTTTTGTTGGAAAAGAGAAATTTAAAGAGGGTCTTAGTGTAAGTATAGATATATTTTATGATACTGTGGTAAGTAGTTTATATACTTATTGTTGATTAAGACAAAGTGTTGTAACTGCTAAGTTGTATCAATAAATTAAATGTACTTCATACAACTAGATGATTGATTGAACCGTGATTATTTTAGTTTTTAAATAATCAAAGAGATATACTTTTTGTATTTAGTATTACTTGAGAAAGTATGCATATAGGAACGCTGAAACTCAGGACCTTTGGAATGCTTTAGGAGAGGTAAGCATCTTGTTTGCATTTTATTGATTGGTTAGTGAAAAATATGCCAAGTACTATTTGTGGAATAGCTGCTTCTGAAACAGTTTTCAATTTTGCCTTTATTGTTTGAGATTAATGGCCGTTGAATATTACCTGATTAAAAAATCTACTGGAAACAAAAATTAACTGCAACATATATGTCACAATACATACATGCATATGTGTTGCCAATATCCAAACCTTATTAAACAAATTAAATTTTCTTAATTAAAAATTTGCCCAAAAAACCATTCTTTGCTGATAGACACTTATCATTTTTAGAGGAGGGCTTTGGAATTTTCGGTTTTGCGGTTTTGACTGTCTTTTGGATCGCTTTTTTGGTTTTTGGGCCTAAAAGGTTCAGCTTTTCGGTTTTAATGTTCAGAGCGGTTTGCGGATTTTACGTGTTTTTGCAAATCAGTTTTCGGTTTTCACGAAAACTCTATCAATGTGGTTTTTGGTTTTTCCTTTTTTACCTCTTTAAAGGTGAAAATGTAGCGGTTTTGTCAGGTTTGCATGCAGTTTTATGTTTTGTTGCCTTTTTTTCGTCGGTTTTTCAGTTTTGGAGGTTTTTTTCCCCGGTTTTGCAGTTCCCCAGAGGCCCTAATGCCCCCCTATTTCTACCTAATCATTCTAGCAAATAATTACAAAAAAGTGAGAGGTTTTCCTATTTTTGTCTGTTTTTCTTTTTTATTATTTTTGAAATAAAAAATAACAGAAAGCCAACATGGATGTGAAAACTATTATGGACACTTGGACATTACAAATGGGATTTCCTGTGGTGACAATCACACGCATTGGTGACACAGACAAGGCTCAAGCCATACAAAAACATTTTCTGTTGGATCCCAACACCAATGTGACTGTGACATCTCAGTTCAAGTACGCTGCTGCTTCAGATTTCTATGGTCTTTGTTCCGTTTAGGGCTGTAATGGCTAGCTCTCCAATATCCTCTTCCTCAATCATCATCATCATCATCATCATCATCCCCATTATCACCACCATCTTTTTCATTATTGTCATCTTCTTTCTTCATTCATTATATCATCTGAGTTGTTCACTGTGTATAGGAGAATTCTCCCTTATTTTTGGTCTGGGTTGTCAGTGAAAAATTTAAAAGATGTATGCAGAGTTGAACTGAGACAACAGCTGAATTGTTTTTGTAGCAAGCATGGGGTATTTGCTCCTTCTCAGACAGGATTTTCATTGAGTAACACTTTTTTAGCCAGACATTGACATTAGAATCAGTTCAAAAATACTTATTTTCTGTCTTTGATCACAAGGGATGGGTTTCTGCTCCCTGTCGGCTTTTAATGACAGCCCTGCTGGAACACTATAATTTGTTAGCTTAGAACACCCGATTCACTCCTCTTTTTGTGATAGAACAAAACAGGTAATCCCATCTTAGTAGCCAATCAGAAAACAGTTTTCTCTTCACCTTAAATTTTTGCTTATTGAGCTATAAGACATATTAAAGTGACACCAATGTCAATGGAGAGTGGTACTGGCTCAAGAAGTCCTTTAGTCAGGAGTCAACAACTATAGTGCTAAACAGACCATATATCATAAATAGATTACAGTATTGAACCCATCCCTTGTTTCAAACTTCATTGAAAGTGTTGTTTGCTTGATTTTTTGTTTGTTTGTTTGTTTGTTCTTATCAGCTATAAGTGGTATGTACCTCTGACCTACGTGTTTGAAGGTGCTTCCCAAGATCCTCAAACAAAATGGATGAACATCTCGTCTCATAAAGGTTATTTAGCGCAGTTTTTTGGTTATTGTTTTCTTCAAAGTAAATTAGTCTCCTATAATATTATAAGATTGATTATTTAAGAAATCTATTATTCATCAATAAAATTGTTTACTTGCACTCTTACTAGCCACATATGATAAAAATGAAGAAGAAAAATGAAAAAAGATAAGACAATTCAGTCATTCATTACAAATTGATCAATTACCTGGTACTTACTTTATCATGCACCCAGCTAGAAATTTTTGTGTACAATTTCAAGGGTCCCCTATACTTTTCATAAGAAGCACGATTAGGCAATTTTTTCTCTTTAATTGTGATTTGATTTTTTTATTTATTTATGAATTGTGATTTAAGATGGTAAGATCATTTAATGTCCACGTGAACAAATTTGTTTATTTAAACGTGAACCGTGAATTAAGAGCTGAACTAAACATGATTCATGGACAATTTTGTGTTTCCGATGAACTTCTGGCAATTTTACTGTTTCAAATATGTACATATAGTTATTGAATGGCTGTGGTTATAGGTTTCTATAGGAGATGGACTTCATTTGGATTGATAAAAGTCATAAAAGAGACCACTACCGGTTCTTGAAACAACCAAGATAAGACATTACATCATCTTTTATTGTGTCAAGACAAGAAAAAATAAAATAGTGATTCAACGTGATTGTCTTGAATTTTTCTTGAACATGAAAGAGTTTTGAATATAATTTGTGGTGCATGAAAAGGCAAAATATTTTTACCTGACTAAGTTTTACAAAGGGGTGTACATAGGGGACCCTCAATTATATGATAATCCACTCTATTGATATTCATTCTCATAGTATGTATTATTTTTTAAAAAACAGTTATTTAAATATTCTAACTTCTTAGTTGAGTTCACATGGCCTAAAGATAAATGGATCAAAGGCAACTTTAAACAAGTAGGATACTACAGAGTGCACTATGATGACGACAACTGGAAAGCACTCATTCAACACCTAGAAAATAATCATACAGTAAGTACTAAATAAGAAAAGACAAAACAAGTTGATCAGGTAAATTTGCCACTTTATTTGGCCCTTCATTTGAGAGACTGGCAAAGGCTACATAAATCTTTGCCCCCAATTCCTCTTTACTCTGACAAAGGGCTAATGTTTGAAACGTGAGCTAATCAGATACTCTTTATGGTGGCCAATTTACGTTCTAAACTCAGTTGATAAAACCAAATTATCTTGTAATACTCGATCCACTGACTGATGCAGCACGATAGTTTCTTTAGAAACTTACTCCTTTCACTAGATAAGTCAAGTTTTGATGTTAATATTAGCCCAATGATCAATTAAACAAAGTTCCAGGTTAATGCATTAACAAGCAATATCTATCTTTATCAATTTTTATTTTTTGATACACAAAAAGAGGTGATATTCCTAAAAAAATCTTTATTTTTCTGACAAATTAGAACCACCAGTACTTCCACTTTTTAGCCTCTTATTTGACTTAAATTTTCTTACATTTAGTTCACAATTTTTTTTCACTTAAATTATTTTGAAAACTTTTCTGGCTTACAGGTTTTTTCTACTGAGGACAGATCAAGTTTAATTGATGACGCTTTCAACTTGGCCAGGTACTGTAAATGGCTTGATGATGAAAATAGTAAAGGAATGAAATTTCCCAATTGCACCACATTTGTTTAGCCAATGCTAAATGTGCACATTTAGTGGATAATAAAATTAATAGTAGATAATTAGCTGAAGCTTTCTTGGAATTAAAGCATAAAACAGTTAAATTCAACGTGCTTTATGTTCTCTCTTCTTTTTCCTTATTGAACCAACACTGTTATTTTTTATCATCTATTTCAGGGCTGGATACTTGAAATATGACATTGCTCTGGGCACCTTGAATTACTTGGGTAAAGAAACTAAATATGTTCCTTGGAAGACTGCACTGAACAGTTTGGGTTTCCTTAAACACATTCTGAGTGACCGACCTGCAAATGGAAACTTTCAGGTTTGTATACCTTAACCATCCAGCAGAGAGTCGTAAGGACAAAAAGAATTACTTGAAAAGCCGTTATTAACCTTGGTTCATTTCATTGGTATTGTTTTTTATAATTATTAGTAACATTCAATGGCAACGACATGTCATTAATTGAACTGACCTTGCTGTTAAGTGTTTGATGTTGTTCATGTCAACGTCCTTGATTCATCTAATGTTTGCAGAGACTGATCAGGAGTAAAGTAAAAAATCTTGCACATCAACTCGGATGGGTAAACAAGAAAGATGATAACCACATTAAACGGTGAGTGAGTAGGTCTGTCCAGACTGATTGCCGGCCACTCTTTGTGCAGTGAGTAACATGCGTATTTTAAATGCCGTGTCTGTTTTCTTCAGATACCTTCGCAGCGCCATTTTACGTGCAGCCTGCAGCGCAGGGGATTCAGACTGTGTTGAAAATGCAACTCAAATTTTTAAAGAATGGAAAAGCGGGAAAAGGTGAAGAATTATCATGTCATGTATTTATGTCATAGCTTTTTTAGGTTGGGAGCAGCTGCTGTTTCCCAAAATATGGATACTTTTTATGCTCCTGCGCGAAGCGGAGAAGCAGAGCCTCCATACACAAGAAAATATGGTATCCCATCAATTCCGAAAAATGTGGTTATCACGTGACCACACGCCCGCAAACATGGTATGAAATCTTCATAAGAGCAATTAACGCTTCATTGTATTTAAAGGACAACAACATCATCTCTTGACTCCTTCTAAAATACTTTCCAAAACTTCGCTGTTATCTGGCTATTAACGAAGGTCTTTTAAAAATTGACGTTTTTATTTCGCATGATCATTTAATTTCTTTTTTACGAACAGTATAGAAACACACTTTTCTTGAAACAGGGCTGAAATAGATGTAGACCTCCGAACCCTGGTTTACTATTATGGCATCAGTAACACTGGCGAAGAAGAGTGGAACTGGTTGTACGAAAAATTCCTGAACACTACAGAAGCATCAGAGAAGAGTAAACTTATGTACGCACTGGCTGCATCGCGTGAGACTTGGATCCTGAACAAGTAAGCTCCTATTTATTCACTCTAAGACTTACTTTAAGACCCACTTTAACCCTATAAGTTTCATAAGTAATAAATAGTAACAGTATCAACATATACTCTCGTTCAAACGTGTTATACGAAAAGATAAGTCTGTCAGTAAGAGGGTGTTTTCCTCATATTACACTTAATTCTCTCAACCACTTTTCAAGGATATGTACAGCAGGTAGAACAGACTATTACTGATAAAATACCGGAAGTTACAGGGTCACCTTCAAATTATTGACGTCTTTTGTATAGACGTTTTGTGTGTTATTCATCAGGTATCTAGGATATTCTCTGGACTCATCCAAGATTCGTTCCCAGGACGCTGTCAGTGTTATCAGTTACGTTGCCTCCAATCCTGTTGGGAAATACCTGGCCTGGACCTTCGTTCAAAATAATTGGAAGGCTTTGTTTGACATGTAAGTATCCATTCGTATTCTGTTGCTTTATGAGCTTCAAAAACTATAAATGACAAAATGTAAAGAGGCCACGTAGCGGTGTCTTCGTCTTTGATTATGCAGCATAACGCGCAGTCTTTAAAGTGGAGTTACTCCGTTTGTCTTTACGCCATTTGCAACAATCCTTGTTCGCTATAGGTTTAATCGTACCCCTTTTGTATTCATCTACCTACAATTGATTATTTTAAAGTTCCATTCTATTTAAAGGCGATTCTCTATAAGGCTTATTAAAAGACTCGCTGAATCAGTGGTTGACATGGCCTCTTGAAAGCCGTATGTTTTGCCAAATGAGGATTATGTTAGGCTCCTGTGATGAGCGTGAGTTGAGAGAAAACCTGAGTCTTCGAAAACGATTCGGGTGTGTTCTAGATACTTAACCAAATTCTCACTGGCGAAGTTAGCTAAGTATTGGGTTCGTATGTAATGTGTGTTTTGTTGGTATGTTTGGCAAAGCGTGACAGCCCACTACGTAGCTATGGTTACGTCTCCTCCCCTCCCTTCGTCTGGGACCCACAGCGCCAGAGCTTATCGCAGACTAGGAGTACCTTTACTTTCTTGTAAGATGCCAGTCCATTACAGGTTACACCACCCCTCCCCACCCAGAATTTCGTCTGTCTTTTCTGACAATTCTCCGGTACCCATTTCTACTCCTGGTTAGAGAGCTGAGGGGCACTGTGAAAGTGAGGTTTTTTTACCCAAGAACGCTTCAAGGGTCATCACAGTAATCCGACAAGACTTCCTCAACCGGAGTCCAAACTGGAGTCTAACGCTGATCGTAAGGCCTTGGTTTCTCCCATCCATTTCTTAAAGCCATTATGAATTTATTGTAGGTTCAGTACCAGTACTTTCCGTTTGACGAGCCTCACCAACAGTGTGACTCAGTTTAGTACCGAGGCTGATCTGGAACAGGTTTGATTTCTTTTAATATGAATTCCCTAATCCACTTGTTCTGTTTCAATAATCTGTCCCCGAAATGGGATTATAACATAACCAAAGTAAAGCGCGCGCTCTGATTGGTCAATTTAGCGTCCCCCATTTGCCCATGGGTGGACGCTGCTGACGTGAGCAAATTCAAAGACTATTTTTCCGCGCGCGCTTGTTTTTTCTTAGTCACGTAAGATTTGTTAAATAAAAGGGAACTCTTTAGCTACAAAGTGTTAATCTTATAAAACAAATGGTAAACACCACAGCGCGTACACTATTGAGTTATGGATGCACTTGGGAGGTTTGCTAAGCACTCAAGAAGCTAGAGTCGCTCTCGGCTATCGCCTCGAGCGACTCTTACGCTTCTTTCGTGCTTAGCAACCTCCCGCGTGCACCATAACTCAATAGTGTACGCTGTGGTGTTTACCATTTGTTAAATATTACAAGCACCGGGACGTAAAGTATGCCCTTTATGCGCTCAAATGTGAAATTTTTCATGGATGGATCGAGAAACTTCATTATCAGCGCCTAAGGTTGATTTGTTGTTTGTCGTTCAAAGCTCAAAGCGTTTTACTACATGAAATATATCTGATTAGCGCAAAATTTTGAATGGCAGTCAAATTGGTTGATTAATTGTATAGCCGAAATTGTCAGAACAGCTATTATTCTTTAGTTTTTTTAATCTGTCCAATTAAGGATTAATTTGAATAGTATCAAACTATCCCAATTAATCCTTAATTGAACAGTTTTAGAACATTAAAGAATAATAGCTTGACTGAGCAATGCCCAATTACAACTGACTAGCTATATAACTAATAAGTAAGAGGGCTACATGTTTGTCCTATTTTGGAAATAATTGGATGAAAAAATTCATCTGACAGCCAAATCGGACTCAGCTTACGGCATCGTCCAGTTTTCGCTGTCGTCAGAATTTTTTTCGTCCAATTATTCCAAAACTGGACAGCATGTAGACCTTGTGCCTATACTAATTTATTATAAATAGGAATTGGCGTGTTATCAAGAATATATATTTTTTAATTTTTGCAGATGAAGGCATTCTTTGACCGTTCTGAGGCAGGAACAAGTGAAAATGCTCGTAAACAGGCCATCGAGGGAACAAAAGCAAATATCGAGTGGCTGAAGACATACGAAGAAATTATCACAACCTGGCTTGAAAATTATGTTTCATCATAGGAAAGTCAATCGTTTGGTGCAAACTTTGAGCTCATAACTTTTTCAGAAGCTTCTCGTTTGAGTACTGAAGAAATATGATAGCGGGTGAGCGAGCCATAGTATTTTTTTTAGTAGAGCGTCGAGCGTAATCCAGAACTTCTTTGGGATACTTTACTACGCAGTGTGATTGGCCTAGAAAACACGTGTCAATTTATGAACCAATCAGAAGCAAAACTGAAACAAATCGTGACTTGGTCAATCGCTCCAGTTTTCCCGCGCTTCACAGTTTACTTTTTTAATCTGATTGGCTCCCCCTGATATTCCTTTGTTCTGATTGGTTGTTAAAATTACTTTAATTTTTAGTTTACGACACTCAACCGGAATGCGCTCTCATGGCTACCCTTCGAAAAACTGGGCGATCTTTCCTGACGAGTTTTCGTTCGTTCAACTTTTGACCTGGTCCTTGTCCATTGTCAGCGTACTCAGCAAGAAAGAGAACCCGGTTTGAGTTTCAGTAAGCGATAGAGCTTTCAGTTATGTTGTATTTTTGGAGTAATTCCCTACTTCCATCCTTTATCACCCGATTTGTCTCCTGGTTGGAAAAGTCAAAAGTCCTGTTCATCTACGGTGTAACCCCAGGGGTCTTGCATGGAGAATGTGTTTCTTTTACTTATGTATAATTTGAAAGAATCTTGTTTCCTTCAGCGTTTTTTTCTTCTTTGAAGACGGGCCTACTTTTAAGATAATGGTTATACTCAGGTCACCTTTTTTAAACGGAAGCATTAGCATAAGTTGCAGGATATGCCATTTAGGAAATATACTACCAACTTCTACTGCCCGATTTGTTTAGCTGGAAGCTTTTCGGGGAACGTCACGCTACTTTTCTATTCTGGAGAGCGTTGCGAGACGGACCAAGGGTTCGGCATTTGTCCGATGGAATTTTGTGGAATTTTTGGAATTTTTTTGGTTTTATTCCCGTTTTCTGCGGATTCTGTACGAATTACTTGTTCTTACTTCAGTATAAAGTACTGAAAATCGGCCTCTTCGTTGTTCCAATAAATCTGCTTGTCGCAGCTGATAACACACATTCCTCTGACGGTTAAATTCCACCCAGATCAAAATCGCCCTTGAGTGGTGAATGGAAATAACTGGATTGGACTAATTTATGTAGTTGTAATAACGAGATAAAATTTTTCATAATACTTAATCCATAATGGAATAGTCCTTTAAATTAGTACGAGTCAGTTAACTGGATTTCAGAAATATTCAATTGTAAAATAATTACACGTAGTTAAGCTTAAAACAAATTTGTTTCTAAGAATAGGAAACCTTATAAGTGGGGAATTTCTGGCGGAGATATTAATCTTTTATGCCAACTACAGTACTCTCCAATCCTGAGTGTGTTAATTTTTTTAATTCAGTGATTTTTCTAGGTTGGGACGTCTGTTTAAGGAGGGCTTGTGAGACCAGAAATAGTGTATCTCAAGTAGAGGTGTTCCCTTTAAGTTAGTTAGCAGACGAAAAGGTTTGAAAAGCATTTTTTGTTGTTGTTTTGTTCTGGTTTCTTGTAACTCGCGCGACGGACAGATGTTGGGAAAGTGGCGCAGCTTGTGCTGGTACTGGTTTGGATAAGTTTGGTTAGCTTTCCTTGGCCGCCATGTGAATAGACTTTGAGATAGTAACTGAAATCATATCAGACCGTATAATTAGTCTTCAGTGATAGGTATTAGAAATAACGATATGAGTGTACAGCAGCAGTAGCAGTAAAAGACGGTATTTTTATACAATCAGACTATTTTTATAGGTATTTTTGTTTACGTCAAATGTGAATGCATGACTTGTGAATCAGTAAAAAAAAAATCATATTTTTACCTTGCAACGCGTTAATTTTCTAATTTAGGTTTGAAATCTCATTTGAACTAAAATCTATAAAACAAAGTAATTAAACCTAGAGTGTATTTGTTTTTCTGTAACTTTTCCTATCTTTGCTTTTGCTAGTTTCCTTAATCTAGTCTTTGTAGTTTTTGGCTTTAATTTTCTTTCGTTTGCCTCTTTAGTTCGTTTGTATTTCTTGTTTTATTTTTAGTGCTTAGCTTTTCCTTTGTTTGCTTAATTTTACTTTGCTCAGTTCTGATTTGCTTCGATTATGCGTATCTGGTGGGGAACCTATCTGACTTAAGCTAAAGCCTGCATTCGAGACTGTGAGACTGATTAAGGTGTCGGAGCTTTCTGTGGCTTGAACCGCCATGTTGCCCCTCTCTCCCCCTGAAAGGGAGCAGGTAGGTGAAGACATCCCCCTCCCCCCACTCCACTTTGAGAATTTCATCATGTCTCCCTGATAGTTCACTAGCACTCATTTATTTCCCCGGTGGAGAGGGGGCACCGTGAGAATAAAAAATCTACCCGACCACACAATAACCCTGGCCGTGGTTTGAACTCGGATCTTTAATTAAAAGTTTGATCAGCTCGCAAACTATTAGGCGAATGCATCTTCAATCTTAACTCAAAAGACCTTGAGATATTTCTATATCAAGTTTTGATTGGTTTTAATAGAATCTGCACAGCACTAATCTATTCCAGTGTTTGACACTCCAGACCGCCATCTGCCGGTCTTTCTCGATCTTATCGCGTGATTATGAGCCCGCTGATACAACAAAAGGTAGGGCAGCAGTATATAACAAGATGGGCAGAAATTCGTAACCGTGACGATGATATTATCACACCCCACTCCGAAAAATCCTGTTTGCCTTCCCTGAACACTACGTGATATGTACGCTGTAGGAACCTTGATGAGGCCACACAAGAACACTGTGCTTTAACACTTAAGCAGTGCTTTCATTTTTCTGAAAAAATAAAAAGGAGAAAACAACAACATGGTCAACATATGACACGGATTGGACATTAAACTGTTTAATCATGTCGACGCGGAAAGATGCCTTCCCCAGTCAGAGAGTTTACAGGAACAAATGGAAATTAGGTCTCCCGGCTTACTAAATAAAAATCTGGTTGTCTAGTTTGCTCTTCTTGACCTTAAAGGACACTAATGATTTATTGAAGTCTTCAATAATTTTCCGTATGGCCGTCCCTTCAAACATTGAGACGTTAAAATATTTCTGGGTTATCCATAAAGTAAGTCCAAGGAGTACAAGAAAACGTTAAAATAGAAATAAAAATAAAAAACTCAAAGGAAAATTAAAGAATGTTTTGGATCTCCTTGAAGCCAAACCGAAATCCCTTTTGGATAATAGCGATCAGTGAGTTAGAATTTTCCACTTAGATAGCCTTTTTTACCCAACACAACCCATTTTAATAAATCAAATCCCTTAACAAAACCGTAAAATAGCCAAGAATCTCATATTTTCTCCTAACGCTAATGATCTTTCATTTACATTTTGTACCCGAAGACAACAGTACCTGATCCTGTCAAACGAAGGACACGCCCATCCTGTTTGTATTCTTGCCACGGAAATCTGTCATGACGTGCGTGCCATCACCTGAAAAGTTGAAGTGTTTTCATGTATTATCCGAAATTTCAATAGTTATTTATCACATGATGATTGACCACAAATTAAATCGCTGGCTGTTGAAATCGGTTGACCGCCGCTATTTCGATCTTTTGTCTAACTTTTTTGTAGGTACTCACAAGACAATCTTTTAACCTTGTAAATTTTGAAAGTGAGAAGTACGGAAATCGAAAAGGAAAGAAAGGAAAGCGGGAAGGCCTGAAACTCCCCCGCAGTTCAAAAAAGGAATTAAACAATCAGAAGCGAAGATTCAGGAGAATCAAAGGCATACGTGCATTTCCTCTTTCGTGACCAACAGTGGGTAAGAATTCAAACAAACTAACATGTAAGTCTCACGGGAATTTCGTTCGTGATGCTCGTGGCTGGGCTGGGAGCCTGGGCCTTGAGCGGCACGGGGATGTGATCGCGTGCGCCGTTAAAACTGCTGAAAGTCTTACAACTAGACAGGTACAAATTCAATAATCGAATAATTTATATCATAAATAAGGCATGCGCAACCGGATATACAAAAGTAAGCTATGCTTGTTATTTACCGTGAATTGACTGGACAGATAAGCTTATCAGCTGATTTGATAGTTACTCTTCGCCTTTCCTTGGCCAATCTGGTTTGGCTTCTAATTTTACATGAGCTTCGATAAGCGAGCGACGAAATGTCTGTGCTTGTAGTCCTGTCAATGAAGTCACTTGGAACTCGAAGAAACACAAAAGTAAATTTTTGAAACAAAATTAGAGTTTCCAGAATTTTTATTTTCATGGGATTAAAGATCAGTGATAATCGGTTTAAATCAAATTTTTTATTGAGAGCGATTTTCTCATAATCCTTTCTTGATAAAACTAACAATGCGGCGATACGAGAAAAGACAAAGCCCTTTGAGTGCGTTAAAAACTAATCTTCATTCTGAAGACTCGCATTTCACTGTGCAAAGGTGTGAAATATTCAACCTAACACATATTTCAACGACAAGAATAAAAGGGAAATTATCCAGAAGCCACAAAATTCAAAACGACAAAAGTATACGTTTACGGAACGTCTCTGGGTAAATCGTGACTTTATTTGCCTCCCGCGGATAAATCCCCAGAAATCCAATTTATTTGCGAGATGTTTGGCTCGTTTGAAGGTGTAAGTACCTTCAACTGAGAGGTTCGGTCATACTTAGACTACAACTATCACGGGCGGTTGAGGAAACTATTTGCACCTCTCCACAGCCAGCTGAGTGGCATATATTTATCACATGATGTGTATTACCTTATTGCTCTCTGTACCCGAGTTTCAGCCCTTCACTAGTGTGGTAACGGTAATGGTATTTGACGCATTGGCAAAGCTGGATCTAATAGCCTGATAATACATCTGCGAAATTTCTATATCGGATAAGTACATCACTGTGAAACTCCCATGCCATGAGTTCAAGAGTAGGGCAAGCAGTCGCCAGACTCAAATCGACTTTTTCGTGTGCTTCAGGCCGGACGGGTCGACCAAAGGCTTCGCAATCCAGGTATGAATATTTTATTGGATAGATTTGAGACTACGCTCGATGCAAACACAATCGGCAAAATCCACCAATGTTTTCGTTTAGTTTACTTTCATAACACAGATCTTCGGGGAAACTTGTAAAATGTCACTCACCCACAATAAATGCCAATGATTTCGTCAAAAGTTTAGATAAACAACTGACGGACAGGCGATCAGTTACAATTTAAATGTTTCCATTCGCGAGCACATGAATCTTAACTCTCCTATTTGTTAATGAAGAATCGTTTTTATTCACTTACCTTTCTGCTCTTGCAAGTGCATTTGAGCAAACGAAACGAGATGTCTGTACAACATGGAATTTATTATACATAGCCAGTGGACCGATCTTCTTTTATGATACACTGTTTTGATCTTCACGATATGTCTTTCTTCGAAGAAATTTCGACAAAGCTGTTTAACCAAAGATTTAATCGCGGGATAATACCACCATGAAAACCAGCAATCTTTCCTATAGAAACAACCATAACAGTGTCAGTCGTCAGCAAGAAAAAAATGGACATCAGCAATTAAAATCATTATCGATCGAGGACCTGGCAAACTGTTAAAACTGTCGCAAATATAAAGTAATGAGCTTACAAATACACCATTTGTTTACGTTTTGTATTTCTCTGCATGATGCTTGTTAAATCACTCAGTAAGTTGGCGATTCAATTTCTTTTTTTTTTTTTTTTTTCCTTCTGTATATGTTCCATGGAATGTATTTCACCAAGAAGAAGTATGAGTGGTTATTTTAAAAAAGACGGAAGGATTATGACGTCACGGATATTCCTGTCAGACCCTAACTTGAACTGTTGCGTAGGTTAGGAACTTGAGATTTCTCGAAATTCATCTAAGGTCTTTCCAGCTAATCTACTGGTAAAAATAGGAAAAATAACTGTGCAAGCAAAACTATAAAGTTCAAAAAAGGCGAGAAAAAAAATGGAAATGAAACAGATACAAAACAAAAAGAAAGAGAAACAATGACAACTTTGGTTCTGATCTTCAAAACACTCATGGCTTATGTTCGCACCTAAACGCATCATTTTAGAGAAAATTACCTTCCGAATTGCGTGAAGCTAACTGATGTGGTCTACTCAAATGAGCTAAGTTCTACTTTCTACTAAATCTTTTCCTTACTCTTAAAGCACATGCTTTTCAGTGAGACAATTCTTGTTTTCAATCATACCGTGCTCTGACGAGATTGAAGGAAAAAGCAAGAAATGAACCACATCACAGTCTGGGATTCGACTTCTTTCTGCTTTTACTTTGTTCCCAGTGTACTTTCATTGAATCTTAGAGGAAGTATGCACCAGAAATCAAGAGATTATAATCTCTTTCCGGAAACCGTTTGATTTTCATTATTCCACCATCATCTTATGTATCTGTGGGATGTATCTAAATATAGGATTCATAACTACGGTGCTTTAAGATTCCAAAGAGTAATTTTATCGTTTGAAATTGTCTCACTGAAATGTACCAAAATTCGATTGTGGACGACGCCACTGTTTAAAACTAACTTAGTAAGTTTGGTGCACTCGCAAAACCACGAAACACATCTCACAAGAATGACTTTATTTGCAGCCCCTCGTTACTCTAACAGATCGCCAAAAAATTAACAGTGAATAAGTAAAAAGGCTAGATTGCTTTTGAAGATTCAAAAGGGCAGAGTCCGAAATCGAATTTTAAGCATATTTGAAGACAGTTTTCAAGAGGCTAGGTTACTATTTTAGAATTTCGAAAGGAAGTCAGCATATGCATTTTATTTTCTAGAGCATACCTTTTCTTAAGAACGCAACTGACACTGGGAACAAAGTCAGTAACTTTTAATCTGCTAACAATATCAACGATTGGCACTAAGTCCTTCTTTTTCTCTTTTTTTGCCTCACCGGAGACCGAAGAAAGATCGACTCCAAACCAGAGCGATCCATATCGTTTTAAATGAACAAAAGAAGCAGATTACAGTGCATAATCTTGTTGTATAAAGATGACATCTGCATACCAGACTGAATGACATAGTTGCTACTTCAAATTTCCGGTTCTTTCATGCACAGGCCAGCCTCTTTCCCGCTTTCCCCCTAAATTTACTGTCACAAATCTATACTCCGTAGTGGAGAGAAGCACAATGATAGAAAAGTACCTTCTCAATAACAAAACACAAAGACGAAATGGCCGATGCTATACCCCTAAAAGTCTTCGATAGGAGTACAGCGCATGCGCACTAAAGATTGTACTACGTATGATGCACGATCCTTCACAGTAGATAGCGCTATTTATGCAATAGCGAAAATCAGACCTGAAAAAAACCAGGCCTGTACGGGAGTCGAACCACTGACCTCTGCGATACTAGTGCAGCGCTCTACCAATTGAGCTAACAAGCCAACTGGGAGCAGGCCGTTAAGTTGATTCGTAATAAACCCGTGATGATAAATCAGATACAATGGATATATGAAGTTCATATATTTTGAATTGCGGTATTAAATACGTATGATGCACGATCCTTCGCAGTAGATAGCGCTATTTATGCAATAGCGAAAATCAGACCTGAAAAAAACCAGGCCTGTACGGGAGTCGAACCACTGACCTCTGCGATACTAGTGCAGCGCTCAAAACACATCTCACAAGAATGACTTTATTTGCAGCCCCTCGTTACTCTAACAGATCGCCAAAAAATTAACAGTGAATAAGTAAAAAGGCTAGATTGCTTTTGAAGATTCAAAAGGGCAGAGTCCGAAATCGAATTTTAAGCATATTTGAAGACAGTTTTCAAGAGGCTAGGTTACTATTTTAGAATTTCGAAAGGAAGTCAGCATATGCATTTTATTTTCTAGAGCATACCTTTTCTTAAGAACGCAACTGACACTGGGAACAAAGTCAGTAACTTTTAATCTGCTAACAATATCAACGATTGGCACTAAGTCCTTCTTTTTCTCTTTTTTTGCCTCACCGGAGACCGAAGAAAGATCGACTCCAAACCAGAGCGATCCATATCGTTTTAAATGAACAAAAGAAGCAGATTACAGTGCATAATCTTGTTGTATAAAGATGACATCTGCATACCAGACTGAATGACATAGTTGCTACTTCAAATTTCCGGTTCTTTCATGCACAGGCCAGCCTCTTTCCCGCTTTCCCCCTAAATTTACTGTCACAAATCTATACTCCGTAGTGGAGAGAAGCACAATGATAGAAAAGTACCTTCTCAATAACAAAACACAAAGACGAAATGGCCGATGCTATACCCCTAAAAGTCTTCGATAGGAGTACAGCGCATGCGCACTAAAGATTGTACTACGTATGATGCACGATCCTTCACAGTAGATAGCGCTATTTATGCAATAGCGAAAATCAGACCTGAAAAAAATCAGGCCTGTACGGGATTCGAACCACTGACCTCTGCGATACTAGTGCAGCGCTCTACCAATTGAGCTAACAAGCCAACTGGGAGCAGGCCGTTAAGTTGATTCGTAATAAACCCGTGATGATAAATCAGATACAATGGATATATGAAGTTCATATATTTTGAACTGCGGTATTAAATACGTATGATGCACGATCCTTCGCAGTAGATAGCGCTATTTATGCAATAGCGAAAATCAGACCTGAAAAAATTTTCGCTATTGTATAAATAGCGCTATCTACTGCGAAGGATCGTGCATCATACGTATTTAATACCGCAGTTCAAAATATGTGAACTTCATATATCCATTGTATCTAAAGATTGTACTGCTCTCGATCGTATGTGGGAAGGCTGAAAGTTTCTAAAGAAACTGTGGTGCTGCGTCGGTGGGGGGGTAACAAGGTAATTGGTTCTATCAACTAAGTTGAAATAGTAAATTGGCCACCGTAACGAATAAAAAAGCTGACGTTTCGAGCGTTAGCCCTTCGTCAGAGCGAATGGAAGAATTGTGGGAACGGCGTCTCGCTCCAGGTCTTCGTTGGAGCGCAAGTGAAAGGCCTAGTTAAGCTTGCAGAGCGAACTATTTCTGCAGAAAGCAAGAGAAAGGTTAGTTTAGAATAGTATGGCTAAAAAACGAACCCACAAGGATTTAATTCGAGAGGTGTTTAACCACCTGTATTACTAATTATTCTCGATGCTTCCTACTAGTTTGATACGGTTGATTGAACGATGCTCGACTTACGCAATGTACTTGACAACAGGTAAACTTTCCTCAGCTCCAAGCTTGCATATTCTGCATAGCCAGACACTGAGTTAGACGTAGATACGTTATCGCTTGTGGATTTTAACGGCTTCTCTTAACCCAAATATTGACACCCTTAAAATGTCGTCTCTTGCTTTTGATGGATAACTGTCTCCATTCCGGAGCGACTCGCCGAACAGATCAATTATTAAACCAGCCTTTCGCTTCAACAATTTTGTAGCTAAATTTGGGAAACCCTCATATTAAAAGTGAAAGCTTGTGATATTTTCAGCCTGAACAAATCGCAAAGCACAAGTGACGATTTGACTTGGTGCTGAATCTTGCTCACATGTCTACCTGTTATTTCTCATTCAGCGAATACCTCACTTAATTGCCCTGTCATGCTTCAACTTGCACGAAGATGTTAAAAGGTTATTGAAGAAAACTGGAAAGTTTGCCGCTTCGGAGTTTAAAAAAAATGGTTTGACTAAATTTTGTATATTGTTACAGACCGTTACTCCACAAAGGGTGTTACTGCAATATTTTTGCACATTTCTTAGCCATACTGACTAACACGTGCAATCATGTAATAACGTTGGATTGCGTTACTAAATCTTAAAAACTGAAAAATCGTGACTTTCAAGGCTGGCTCCACTCATAACCATCTGAAGTGAAAAAATACCCTTCGAACAGAACCAAAAAAAGTAATCACGGTACTATTTTCTCTATTCTAAATGCTAAAAGCTGAGCGACTTTCGATTGTTTTTCTTTTGCCTTTCCTTTTCATTTTATCTATTGTGTCATTTGCTATATGAAAGGAAAAGGGTCTTTTTGCACCAGTCAGATATAATGTAGCGCAGTCTTCTATAACATAACACTTTGATTATGACAGGATAGATTTAATAGACTTTTTAAAGGTTTACACTATTCATAGTAATTCCAGGCTTCTCAAAACTTGGTTGAAATCTCATGTAATCGTGGCATGACTGCCCCGTGATATGGGATGTCACTCAGTTGTTCGTCTTATTTATTCGAGTTTTTACTCAATACAACTTCATTTTTCTCGCTGCTCAAAAGTGAAGTTTGCGTTTTCGTTAACGCTGAATCTTTCGAACGTTTCCATAGCATTTTCGTTTCTATTTAGTATAGGAAGGGAATATTTTTCTGCCAATGCCGGCCACAGTACCTTACGCTATTCCCCAATTGTTATTCACTCAGTATTGTCCCCTGACGATAGATAATCCTTACATCAGACGAAACATTAGAACCGTACTAAAAATAAAGAGCTCCCAAAAGATTGAGACAAATGTAACATTTACATGATGAGATATAAAGTTACTAAAAAATAGTTAAAATAACACACGAGCCGGTTCTAATCATATCGATAATCCCCATTACGGTAAACGCTTCAGAATTGTAATAAATTGTTTTAAAGACCTCATTTTAAAGGTTAACGCGGAGATATACATAAGAGGAGAATTACATAGTTCAAGCAGTTTCAATTCCTCGATCAAGACAAAAGCTCGGTTTTTTCTTTTTTTAGAGTTCAAAACTATTTTTCTTTTGTATCTAAGATGAAAAACTAACAAATATGAGGACTTTAATTACCAAAATGTTAAGTCCTCATAGAAATTACGAAAGACCATCTATTAATGAGGCTGTTTTGTTTACACAAACTGAAAAGACAAACAAAAAAAAAACTTTCAGTTAACCCTAATCGCGAGTATTGTTTCATATTAATTGTGCTGGCAGAAGGTATGAATTATTTTAATCTAAATAAAGATAAAGGAAACTTGTTTGAAAGAAACCAGCTGATTTCATTCATAAATAGACAAGTATTACTGTGTTCCGAAATAATTGGAAACATGGTGGCTTCCTCTACGCAAACAATAAACCCCATCGCGGGTAGGGACAGAAGATGATTTGCCCTTTTTACTACATGTAACGTAAAATTACTCTATTGATGAGACGTCATATTTCTCGAGATTTCAGAAAGTAGTATTTGACATAATTAATTGATGACTTGGTCACTTTTTTGGAGTTATGTATCAAGAAGGAGGAATTTCAGCGTACGGATATACAAGTGATAGAAGCCTCATGCCTACCCCGTAAAGTAGGAAAAAACACCGAACCATGCCGTGAGCTAAGTAACCAATCATCCTCCAACATCCCGCCATTCAGAAAAGTTCACCGCCATTAACTACAAAGGGTTTTTTCGATGTTGTCGCCATTTATGTATTACTAGTCAGTAATCAATGGGTTAGATCACCCCCAGAGCTTGACAAAGATTCGAAGAAAAGTTTAACTGAAGTGAAAGTGAAAAGAATTCGCCAAGATATTATGAGCGACAACGAGAATGGTTTGTCCGTTTCAATTTCGTCGGCGAGTTCGAGGCGAACTTCGACGGAAAGTTTAGAGGAGAGCATTCGAAAGATTCTAAGTACAAGTGACGGTCGGCTCAATGGCTTTCTTGAAAGGTATGCCGTTACGTCTGAAGGATGTTAAGTCTTCAAATTCTTGTTCATTTGAGCTTAATCACGCGGGTAACTTGTGTTAGTGTGGTTAGGTTTCGGGTCAGTGCATTTCAGGTTTTCGTGACACCCAAATTTAACGACTTATTTCAAACAGCATAACATTGTCTTGTATACTTGTCACATTAGATTTTGTTTAATCATTTTACCACCGTTCGGTGGCTTACCGGGGGTTTATTTATGTTCATGTTGTGTCTGTTTTGAATTGTTCGCAGTCCCGATCTTTCGTTAACATGTAAGCAACTTGGACTGGAGGACAACAGCGTTCGAGAAATCATTTCACAATTGGGAACTGAGAAGAACGATGGACTAGTTTCTTTGGAAAATCTACGACAGCACGTTGCGAAAGGCCATGAAAAATCAAAAGTGACAGAAAATAACACCATCGACGAAATGAGTGCAAAGAAATTGAACGACAAGACAAGCGGTAAAGAAAGCTGGGAAATAGATAGCGGTGCTCATGATTTGAACGGCGATCCCACTCTACAACAAATCATGTCTGTGGCAAATTCAAAGGGACAGTCCCGTTCAAGTAACTTCTTGGAGCTAGCAAATACGGTGAGTCAGCTTTTAAGTGTTTTTGTATAGTCATGTGAAGTTTATACAATAAAAAAACGACCTGCTTTGCGGGTGTGAAAATTTAGATCGCATGGCTGGTCGTAAGAGTTCTTTGATAGTTTCCGGAATCTTCATGGGTGCCGCCGAAACACACGACTTCCCGTGGGATTGCTACTCGAAATCGTGATCTTTTCGATTGCACTCTAGACTTTGCCTCTTTTAATGTTGTACATGTTAATGGAAGCATAAAAATTGAAAAATAAGTTAGGTGCTACAGTTTATACATGTTTGTTTAAGTGTTTTGTAATAGATATTTCGGGTTATCATTCTTCACAAATCAGCTTTACGTTCGTCGGTGACTTCTTCCAAACGTAATGACTCATAACTTGGATTTATCGCAAATGAAATCTTTCAACAGCTGTGACATCTTTTTTCGTATTGTAGTAGCGAATTATTTTCTTGCTGTGAGCATGATTTGCGTTCTTATTAATCGAAATCATACCATCTTTGAACTAATAATGGATTTCTGAAATGCCCAGCTAATAAGCTGCCTGTATATTTTATTTGATCGTCGATTTGTGTTTTTTTTTTTCATTCCATGGATCAAGTTTGTCTGCCATGTGAAATCGATTCGCTAAATTACAATATTCCTGTTAATTTTTTTTATCCGAAGAGGTTCTCCTTTTTAAGTGGACAATGAACCATTCCCATACACAGGAAAATCAACTATGACGTTCATTAAATTAGCGAAGAATCAAACGCATAATCACTAAAGCTCTTTTTAACATATTTTGGATTTCAAAGTCTCTGAAAATTTTCGATCGTTAAAGCCTCAGTTACGGCAAAATTGAGTATAAATTAAACGGCGAAATGAACTTAATCATTTATTTTGATGTTTCAACCCCAATGTTCGAAGTTAGCACGTGTATGTTTTTGGATAAACATCGAAACGACAGACAGCTAATATTCGGAAAACAGCGGACAACAAATCAGGCGGCAATGAGTGAATAACGTTTTGTAGATAAATCGACCGAAAGGACGGGCCTTGTGATTATGGCAAATTATATCAGACTAAACAAAGAAATTTCGTAAAATTACCGCTATCTATAGTCTAATCGCGAATATTTGCCAGCAGCAACTTGTGCCTTCCATCACAATTAGGTATAATTAGTTTTAGGCGATGTCTTTGTCGAAAGAGAATTGTTAAATCTCTCACAGCTGGGATAAAGGTTTGGTTGATGTGGCAAGAGATGTTGTTTGAGATTGAGGCCCCCTCTATGAAATTTATTCACTCGTTTTACTTTCTTATCAGTAACTTTGTGATGTTATAGTTTAAATGTAAGCGTAAATAAAAGCTTGTCATGAGTTCCATGCCACATCACTTGTGACAGACGATAACTTGACCTCATATCATAAGACACATTAACTTAGAAATTTATGAATCAGTAATGCCACAGAAACAAAACAACTGCAGAGTCATTGTCAGTCAGGGTTTGGTTTTCCTGAAAGAGTTATAATTTGCTATTTATGTGACGTCCTTCAAAACCACAAGACAAATTTAGTGGTTAATGATAGCTCATTTCAGAAGTCCAATATTTGGTACATGTTACGTATCCGGTGTTCAGGATTTAAGGCAATATAATTTAAAAGGAGGGATGCACATAGATTTTACATAAACATGTAATTTTAGCGGCAGATAAATTTGGTGCAATTTTGCTAATGACGACACCTATTGTATGAGAAACCAATGCCAATTTCTGAATTAAACATGTTACTTTAAAACCACCTGCTGCTCTGATCTGTCCCTTCCTGATTTAATGTATGGTTCAATTAGGGTTAAAATGATCTTTCAGTATTTGCCGTTGATCATTGCATAGTTGAAGTGCCAACCTCCCTTTCTTTTCTTTTCTCATCACATTTGGGGTTCCTCGTTCTACATTTGTATCCATAGTTGCCTGTCTAGAGGAGTATTGTAGTTGTTGTATTCAAATGGCATGCCAGAGAGTATTTGTATATATGAATGTTTGCTTTTTCATCAGAGGTTTAAACTTTTAATGAGTCATCAGTGCTTTTGATAATTGGCTGAATGTATTCAACATAGCAGCATTTTATCCCACCGGGGCATGCAGGGCTCAATACTAACTTTTCAACTTACTAGCCAAGTGGCTAATGACATTTTAGATGTTATGACAATTTTAGTTTGTTTACTCGCTAAACTGGCTTGTGGAAATTGAAAACCACTAGCCAAAACTGAATTTCTTCTAGCCTGTGGCTAGTGGGCTACAGTTAGTGTCAAGCCCT